TTATAGAAGTAAATAGTACTGTTCCTATCTGTACTTAATGTTAGTCAACTAAATGTAATTTTGATGCTTCCTGGCTCCCTAATAGTTCAACACATTCCTAATGTTTCCGTAAGGCAACTAAATTAAGAAGTCCTGAGTATTTAGATTAATGTTTCCTGATAACTTATTCTTTTTAGAAGTTCAATTAGATTAGTAGTTCTGAGTCTTCATTCTGTAGAGTTTTAGTCCAGCAGAACTACCCAGAGAATTAAGCTACTCTAGATATGTTGCAGTAAAGTAGGAAAGGTGGACCTGAATATAGTTTGATATTTTTTTTCCTCTCTTCAGATAGTCAAAATAAACATTTCATTTTCCAGTAATGCAATTTGGAGGTGCTAATATACATGCACAGAGGACTAGCTATTGTAGAGATCTCCACTCTTGTTGAAAAGTCCTGACATGCAAGAGTTTGAACTCAACTTGATTGTTCTTGTGTCAACTCTACATCTGTTTCACTGCACTAAACAACATTTTTGGCACTGTATATTAGCCAAAATGTATTTAGTATGATAATCCAATTACTAAGCAATATTTAAGAAGGCTCCTTCCAACATCCAAATAGTAAAGACACTATGAATTTACATCTTTGTGTTGCATGAGCAAATACACATTATTCTTCTCTCCTGTGGAAAAAGCCTATTGTTATTCCTTTGACCAATGTAATGTGCAAAACAACAAAAGTAATTAATTAACAATTCATGAAAGTAGTTGACTTCTATTAATGTGCCATTGACCTTAGCACCACTATCCAACATTTAAAGGCAAAGGACCACAATATTTATTATGAGGTCAGGCATATTGATAGAGCATTTAAATGAGTCATATTTAGCTCACTGCATGGGAATTATGTTAATGAAAAGGGTGTCAGAGTTTCAAAGATTTTAAGTGACTGAAATGTTATTTGATCTAGAATTTATTTGGCATTTATTCTGTAAGAATGCAGAGCAAATGATTTATAGGGTTTGTGTTTGATGTGAGGGTTCAATAAATGTTGAGGCACAATTTTTGCTTACCTAAAGCAATGAATTCTGTGGGAGGTAGAGCTTTCCCTTTCTGACTTCCCAATTATTGGCTTGTTTGTTTTCGCATAGAGTTTGGAGAACTTAATCCTTCTGGTTCATTGGAACAGATTGCTATAAACTATATAATTCTAGAAGAATAATGTAATTTTTGAAATTATTTTCTAATGTATTTGTAATTAAAATCTTTCATTTTTTTCTATGTGGACTTTTTCTTGTTCTGCATGTGTTTGTCGCTTTGTTACACAGATTTTTTGAAAATAAGGGAATGAGGGAAAAGAAGCAAGTATATCTGGATCTGTGATTCTGTGATTTCTGTGTACATTCAGTGTACATGACTGTAATGTGGATAATTTTAGAATTCAGATTTAAGTTCAAATGAGATATGAAAATTGAGTTATTTGCTGTTACTAAATGATAGCAATTTTTTTCTTTTGATAATTCTATCACTTTGAACTGTATCTGCTATATTTGAGTTATCCAACTGAAATGAAGCCTATTTTCAATTAAGAGCAGAACTCAGGATAGATCCTGAGTAAAATGTAATTGAATTGGGATACTGTTGAGAAGTTGGGTTTAATTTTGAACTTACACATTAGATATTATATTCAAACGATATCTGAAAGTCTTCGGGCTTGAGTTTGTGGTGATGTAAAACAAAGTAATATTTTTCATGTATGAATTCACAAAAGCAAAAATGCAAGACTCAAAGACGGCAAAGCTCCCAATTTCCCATTTAAAGTTGCTTAAACTTTACATGTACACGGCAATTCACAGATCCCCTTATCATGTGATTAATTCTATCACAGTTTGAGGTAAATGGGAGAGAGAATTCCTTATTACATGTGAATAACAGAGATCCCTGATATGATTTTCTTGGATTCCACTTTGATTCAGATTGCTATTCTGTTTTAAATCTTATTATGCTGCTAATTTCAGTTTTACCCTGAAAGGAATTTTGTATGCTTTCCAAGGCATTTACATTTCAGTGGCTTTCAAAAATATTTTAGATGTGAAACCTTTAGCAAGGGGTAATTGCAACTTACAGACTTTTAAATTAATAGAACACCTAGAGAAATTAAATTTTCTTGGTGGTATGAAGCCGTAAATCCTAGTGGTGTTTTCTAGAACTAAGGAGATAAAGATTGATCTTATGTCCAACATTGTAGCAGGGGCCAGTTTTGTGACTGATTGACATGGGGGCATTATTCTTACATAGTTTTGTATTCAGACTGCATTTATTTGGTATCTCCAGACACAAAATAGCACTGTTTCATTAATTCCTTTTCAAAATTCATTTCAATGCATTAATTTATATTATGACTTTTTTATTATTTAATCACAATATTAGCCATTTATCTATAATTGTTAGATATTAATCTTAGTAGTAGATTAGTATCATTAGATGTTATTGAACATCTTAGAACTAGATGTCATTTCTTGCTATTAAAATGAAGAATATCAATATAATCTTACTTACATATTAAAAAATAGATATCTTCATTGAGCAGGTCAAAATTGAACATTTCACATTGACTTAAACCAGACAAGATGCATAGAACTTTAGCCACTGCAAGGACTTCTCCCTTTTGTTTTCTTTAGTACACTGACTTCATAAAGAAGTAAATGCAGTACATAGCAGGATGTCTTTCAGCTTTATTGATATTCCATGTCCTCTTGCATCTTATGTAAAAGGAATTGAAATGAATGGTCCTATGTTGCATTCACTTGTTGTTAATATCGCAATTTTTGTTGTACCAATGTGGTACTTATATGTCTGCATACACTTCTACACCTACAGTTTTTTACCACTGAGCTGACTGATCAGTAGGAAAGCTGTACTTGCATAGCAAGCAAATTAGGAAACATTTTGAGACAACATCCAGAGTTAATTTAAATCAGTTTTCTATTTCATCTATTTTGTTATCTTTCAACAAGTAACAGTCCTCAGGATGTGTGTTTTAGCAGCTCAAGGGACATTTACATCTTCATGACCAACTAGTTTTATATGACAAGTAGATTCTAAAATATTGTTGTTCTAATGTACCTTTGCTGCAGAATTTTGATATAAAAATTCGTGGAGAATCCTTTATTTTGGTAGAAGATGGAGATTTATTATTACAACACTCACTGATTTTTGCATGTGAGTAAGACTCTTGAAAATACCTTAGCAGGGAAATCATAATTAAATACTTACTGTTTACTTTTTTATCATAAAATACAGATCTTTCTATTGATGTGCTATAGTGCTGCAATTAAAAACAAAAGTAGCATTCTCAACATCATTCCAGCTCTGTCATGCTTCTCTTTCTCTGCTAGATGGCAAGATACAGCCAATGGTATTTTTGCTTGTAATCATGAAATCTGTTGAGGGAAAAAATTCTAAAAATCTAGTGGAAGTGGAAAGGTAAATATTAACAATATTATTCAACATATATGACTATACATAAAGAATTTGTCCATATTCATATCATAGTTACATGGAATTTGTTAGAAAAATTTAGCTTAGTCAGCTAATAAAAGTCAAAATTCATACTTTATTCTAACTATGAAATGCTCGACTAATTACATATAATTGTTTTCAAAGGGAAATTGTTTCTCATATGAAAATGTTCCTGATTCAATTAAGAAATATCTTTGTATTCTCTGCTATAGCTAAGTAGCAAACAAGAATATAAGCCCATGTCAAAAAGAGCAAAGTCTATTTCAGAGTAAATTTCAGCCCAGGTGCAGTTATGAGTTTTGTTATATTTGGAGATGAACAGAATAATAGGAGCAGAACTAGTTTTGACTTCCACGCTTTTTGTTTTCTTTTCAACTAAATGTATTTTTATAAAGCAAACAATAGAATTGGAATAGAGGTGGGATTCATCTGAAATTTTTTGCTCAAATGTATTTACTTTAACGTAATTTATAACAGATACACTTTATTAGGCCCAGGACAGAATTTTCTACAAACTGACAAAGGCTTTTAAGTAGTAAGCTGCCCAATGATCAGTATTCTGTTTCCCTGCTGTCTGTGTAAATCTGAGTCTTGAATTTGTATTGCCCATCTCACAAGTATGGGATGCTGAGCTGCCCATCTAGTGACATGAGTGGGGGTGGCTTCTCTACTCCCGAGGGAGCTGTTTAACTTTTAATTAATCCAGGAGCCAGATCAAAGAGTTCAGAAGTACTCACATGAGGGCTCAGCGTAGGTACCACCGTTACCTGCTTTATTGCCAGTGGTAGTTCCCATTCCCTGAGGTTGCATTTTCCAGCTTGTGTCCAGCTATTGTCTTGAAATGTCTTAATGCTGCTACTGATGGATTACTGTTGAAGAGCTGCTGCGTTATGCATGGCAGGATTGTTCAAGCACAGAGATGGAGATGATCGCTCAGGATAACCAGTTATTTGGTAGTAGGTCACACATTTAGGATATCACAAAGTAGTGATGCAAACATCATATGAGTGCCTAGGACCATTACTGATTGACTTCAGTTATTATCTTTTCCAGCTGTACTGTGCTAGCATGACTTCATGCTCATTGCCAAGTGGTTCATCGTGCACCTATAAATATAGTAGAGAACTTGCTATGCTATTTGCTCTCTTCCATGGTCTCTTAAGAAATCATTGCTATCACTGCCATACGTTGCTGTTTTTTAACTATACTTTCAATGATAATTTAATCATTATATTTAATTTTTCATAGTAATAAACTAATTTCACATTTTTATCTATTCTGAAAAACAAAAGGAGCAAAATAATTATAATTTTTTTCAGGGATATTGACTGATGATTCTGTTCAATTTCATGACTTTCTAGGGCAAAAACCTTTTTTCTTATATTCTTACATCTACATTGCCACAAATTTTAGAAGTATTTTTGTTCATTAGATTTAATGCTCAAATATAGTGGTCTACATAACATTAGTCTGAAATAGTGCTCTTTCTGCTTTGCCAGATTTGTCTCAGGATCAATTTTTTGAACACTCACAATGTTGGAAAACATCTATGAACCAGCTCTCTCCAGCCTTTGGAAGTCTGGCTGAAGGTAGTTAGAAATGCAGATGATGCTTGATTAAGAACACTGGTTGTCCAACTCTCTTTCTTCAGAGTAATAGAGCACCAAGAACGTTGGTGATTTCTTGTAGCGTCTTTTCTGGATTTGGCGGCTGAAGAAATTGATATATGCCCATTGGAATTTGTGAAAGTCTTTGCAGAGATTTTAGCCTACGGCAGACTGGGCCTAAAGGAAGCAGTCCCCAAAGAGACAGAGCCTGCAGCTGTGAATTTAAATGTGTAGTAGGAAATGTCAGATTGCAGATCCAGAAGAAAAGGCATGCACTGAAGACTAGGGGAATTTCTGCCCTAAGATCTATCAACTATTTTCAGAACCATGAAGCAGAGAGCTGTTTATGTTTGTTACTACTTTTTAATTCCTGTTGGCAGTGACATGCAGACTATGAAATGTGTTAGGCTTGATTTACATAAATCAGAAGGTTGTCAGCATCTTCCCTTTAGATGTCTATGTTGCCTTAAAATCCAAACTGATGACCTCATTGTAACACAAATAAATAGTGTTGGTAAATGTTATTATAAATTTCTTCTATTACTGAACGTACAGATGGAAATGCAAAGTTAAAATTTGTGATATTTTCTTACATACACTATGCTTTGTTACCAGTCTTCCATATTTTTGAAACATTGTTTTTCCATTATCAAAAAAGGATGGATTCTGTTTTTTTTTTACAGTGCTTGATCATATTCACTTAATTTGGTCTTTTGTTGAAAATAGAATTTCCTTATTGGTAGATCCCTTTGTATCAATACAAATGTAATTTTGAGATCCTTTAGCTGTCCATCATAATGAAATGAAAAAAGAGAGGAAATATTTTCATCTCTTAATTGAATGATTATTTCTGTGTGTCATCAAGTACTGGCGAGTGCAGATATATTGTTGGAAAGAGTAAGGGGAATACTGTAATTATAATCAGAAAAGTTCTAGATAATTTCACAACTGCCAAGAACATCTGTAATTTTACATGCTTGTAGCATACTAGGATTACCTAGTTGATTAGATGTATTGTTAGATACTTATACTAGGGATGGTTGTTCAGTTTTATCCCAAGGCATTAATTTCTCATGAAAGGAATTTACTAATTTCCGTGTACTAATCACCGATTCAACTTTCTGGTTCACTGTACTCGTATTTTTTAACATAAACACGATTTTTTTTCTAGATTTCAGAATAAATATTGAGTTTATGTGAAATGCACAACTATCCTTATAAATCATGAATTTTGTACAGCCTATCCAAGAAGATTTTTGGTTTGTTTGTCATAGGTATAGTACCAAAATAACAAAGTGTTTTTTTGAGTTACTATTAATATATATTGCAACATGAATTACATTTTGCAACATAAATATCTGTAATTTTTATTACACAGGCACTGCCCTTCCACCTTCCTATATTCAGATAGTGAGACTACGCTACTAATGGGTAGATTTCCACATTTTCGTCTGTTTTTTGGTGTTTTCCTTAGTGGATACTACCAGCTATGTGAAGTCATCTCATTACTTGAAACAAACTGCTTAGGCTTGGACTTCTTAAAATAAAACTTTTTTTTATGTCACCCTTATAAATGTGCCCTTTCCAAATTCTTCTTTCTTGCTTTTACAATAATGAAAAGACTAAAAAGACCATGCTTGTAATTAAAAGTCATTTTTAAATAACCTCAGAAGATTGTTTCTAGAAATCAAAACATCTTCATAGTACAATTTCTAAGGAAAGAAAGACAAGTGACTAGGATCCCGTACTCTTTACTGTAGTCTACATTAATTATCTTCTATTAAAAAATGACAAAGACCTTTTTGAAAGGGAATCTGGCACTCTTTCCGCAGAAATGATGGCAGACACCCTACTCTCTGCTGATTTCTTGACACTTCTAATTACCTGTATTCATTTGAAATCGTTTCCTTTGTAGTGAGTTATTGGCATGATTTTCAGAGAACAAGAGGAAAATGGAAAACATTTTAGCAAGTTAAGAAAAAAAAAAATCAACAGTATCATTGTTTGCAGCTTTTGTTGAAACTACCTATGTGAGTCATTTGAGGGACATGAAGGTAAATGAAAGGTTATACTTTGCCCTGCACGTTGTCACTGGTATTTGTAATGTCAATAACTGTAGAAGGTTGTCAGGAAACTGGAGAGATAAAGGTCAATAGCAATGACAAATATATCACTGTATGTGTTTGAATATGCAATATCAGCCCAATCTCATGGTGGAGGTTTTCACACCCTGGAAATATCAATCAGGTGCTGTATCAGAACTATTCATTGTTTTCTGTATACTTAGAATTAAATGGGAGATCAGTAGGTTTAAGTTTTAGCCTGTTTACATTATTTTTTTCCAGCTTATATATTTTTTTCATTTAGTGCAGAGCAACAAGTTACTATGTCAAAAAGATATTTTCTGTTGAATAAAACACCAACAGAGATTGAAAAACAAAATACAAAAAAAAAGGGAACAAACATTATTCTGGGTTCGTTAACGTGTTATGGGGCATTGAATGTTAGTTCCTATTTAACATCTGATATTGCTACAGCTTCCAAATTATTTTTGCAAACCATGGCTTTCTGATAATTGTATGTAAAGCAATTTTTTCCTATTTTAACGAAGGCAATGGCATCTTGTTCGAAGTGCCTTTAACAGAAATAGAGGCACTTTATTTTTCGTATAGCAGTTCTTAAGAGCTCTGTTAAAGAAAGCGACCACAATGTACAGTTAAATGAATGTGTAAAGGAATAATCCTTTAGAGAGAACTATCTTACACTTGAACACATCAAAACACCAGAATGTGACTTGTTACAGATGTGGTTCTGATTTAGGAAAACTTCTCACTTGACATATAGGAGTGCTAAATCACAATTCATTGCCTTGTAATGTGGTTTTCTGTGATTATGAAAAATGGCAAAATGAAAGCTGAAGAACTTCAGTGTGTTACAAGACATTGACTGTGAAAACTGCACTTAAGTTCAGGGCAAAGCTTGAAGTAGAAAAGTAGGGGAAGGACAAAACAACATGGAGATGAGTATGAGAATAGCAGGAAGGAAGTATTGCTGCAAGAGTCTTGTTTGAGAGACAACTGGAAGAAGTACTCTTACTGGGTAGAGTATATGAAAAAGTGACTATGGGGAGTTAAAGGAAAGGTGAACACAAATTGTATGCTGATTAGAGATACGAAGTCCAATATAGTGGGGAAAAAAAATTGCAGACATGATAAAGGCACAAAGATACTGTTATATGGATCAGAACACAATAACTATGAAACTTCTGCAAATCCAAGTTTTTAAAATAAGCCAACCATAAAACTATTTACTAACTCTAATCAGTGATCTCGCTCTTCCCCTGAAAACTGCTTCCCTTTACAAGATGCAAGTCCTTTGTACTGCTAGGGTAGCCAATGAAGAGCCCTAAAATTCTGACAATTTCAGCACGTAGAGTTTTGTGGTAGCTTTTGAATGACTTGAATGATCAAGTGGTTCAAGCTTTATTCAGTTTATAAAAATAGTGACTGAATTTGGTGATGTGTCTTCTGAGTGTATTTAACATTGAGTTTTAATTTAGTAAGCCTTTTTATGTACTTAAATAGTATTTTAAAAATCATGTGTATGCTGCTCAGGAAAGCCCTTAAGAATCTGATCATAAGAACATATCTTTCAAAGTTCAGAGAGTTTAAGGAAGTCCTTGAAGAAGTCCACTGTTGGCTGAAGTTGTTTTTCCTGGGTCGTTTCCTAGAAATACTTTTGACCTCCAAATTTTTTTCCTGAGAGTAAACATCCTAGCTGAGTTTCCCAGGACATAATAATAACTAAAAAGGTAGCAACCCTTATTAAACTCATAGAAGTTTATCCTTCCATTCTTAGCTAATTTTAAGCAATATGTCACCCAAATAATTTGGAAAAGTTTTTCAGATTCTTAAAAGACAGTAATCTCATTTTAAAAGAAAAATTACTCTTTTTGAGATATCACAGCTTAATATCTTAAAAATATGTGAGTGAAAAGCAAGATATATACCTTAATCAGTTATTGAAACTCAATAAATGATTCAAGTAATGTTACAGTACTGTCTGAGAAATGGGCCCTAGACTGTTCATTGTATACCCTGTTGTTCTATGAATTTTGTTGTATGTTGAAATTTTTGTCATCCACGTACATATGGTGCCTGGCACAAATGATGATTGACGCATATGATAACATATGATTCTTTTTTTCTCTCTCCCTGACTCTCTCATGCCTTCCCTCTTTCTCTTTTCCTTTAACTCCCCATTTCCATCTTCTCTATGTCTGTCTTCTATTCATCCTCCTCTCAGTCACACCCTTCTCTCTCTCACTGTGCTGTGGTACAAGGGTTTTCTTTTAAAGTACTTTTTAAAGGTACGTGTCTGCCTGTTGCTTTATTAGGTTTCACCCTGTCTCTTTCACATACATACAGGCATGTGATAGGTTTTCCATCTGAAAACAGTCCTGGCCCTTATAATAGACCAATCCTTCTTAGATTTGCTATTTTCACTCAAATTCTTAATTATATCATTGTCCACATTCTGCATTCAAGATCATGACATTGCTACAAGATGACTGCAATTACAAGGCTGTAAAGAGACATTCACGCTGCTGTTTTGAATCTGCATTTTACCTCTCTGGAATGGGGATAATCTTTCAGCAGATGAAATCTCTTTGTGTGTTTTTGTGTGCAAGAAACAAGGAATTCACACTGTGCTATGTAGCTATCATCCTGTCTCCTATATACTGTGAATACGTGACTGAGAATTAGATGCTCCCTAAACCTTGATAATTTGTAGGCCAATATGCATGTCTTTGAAAATGGAAAAAAATTAAATACTTCTGAAGTATGCATTTACCTCCTGTACTTATGTGAACTGAAACATCACATAGAATCAGGCTGACTGATTTTCTGATTTTGTTAGCTTGGATATGCTTCATATAACAGGGAAAGTTCTGTAGCTACAAATACTTGAAGCAAACTTTCCAGTTTGCGGGGCATTACCAATTACCAAGAGTGCCTTGTTATTCTTTTGCAGATAAAATAGTGCTGTGCTTTGTTTTATTTTGCAGAGATTCAGCACGTGAACACTGTCTGAACTTCAGAAGAGAACTGTCCTGCTCCAGAGTGAGTACTGCCTATTCTCTCACAGAATAGGAGTGTCCATACATTGACAGTAGTTCATAATAAAGTAGATCTTTCCCGCTCATTTTCTGTTCTTACAATCCAGACCTTTATTTGCATTGCTTAATATCCCAATAACATACAATATTTATTAATTTTATTACCAGGTAAACTACATAGATTAATGTGTTCTTATGCAATAATGGCAGAAACCTCTGTATTTTAAGAACTTATGAAAGTACTGAAAATAATTTGGTTCACACATGAATTTATTCTTATTAAAACTGAGATTACTGTATATTTTATAATACATAGATACAAATGTAATGGACCTAAGAATAGACTCATGCAAGTATCTCCCAGTTTCCACCTTGCTATTTAATGCATAATTTTAAAACCCTCACATGTGAAATGATTTTTATTTAGAAATACATATTTGTGATTTCTTTTTGACAAAGAAAGGCCTTTTGTTCTGCTTTCTTCAACAGAACCTCATTTTGTGACTTTCTACTGTCCCCTAGTGGCATTTTAATCTTTGTAACTATTGTGATATTGCTATTCTGCATTGCTTCTGTGGTTTTCTGTTTTTTTTTTGAGACTATCATTAACAAACATTTAAAATACTATTAAACAACCCATCA